AGATCCTAAATTATTGCCAAAACGAGCGAGCTTACGGCCCCTTAATCGCTACTAATCTCTTAGCGAACGATTAAGTGTGTGTGAATGTGTCCTAGAACAAATTAGATCTCTCTTAATTCATTCTACATGCAATTGTAATTCTAGCTGCAGTCTAGGTTACAAGAGATATCAATTAAATTATTCAAACACAAATTAAACGGCATTCATGCAATTAAACCGACAAGAATCTAGCCATACATCATGATTAACCCCTTCATCAACCCCAAATCCCTAATTAAACTACTCACAATTCATAATTGAAGAATCAACAGAATTGAGATGAATAGAATAAATTGTCATTAATTAAAAAGATGAACTTACAAATAATCCCAGGGTCTTGGAAGAAAATAGCGTAAAAACGGTGTTAAATTCGTTCCTAGGCCTCTCCGTAATGTTCGTAACCCTCAAAAAGGGTTAGGGAGGCCTTATTTATAGAAAAAAGGGAAAAAATATGAATTCTGGCCGATTTGGGATTCAATTTCGCGTAACCCGGAGCTACGCACGGCGTGTGTCCCCCCTACGCACGGCCGTGCGTAGCTGGCAGTGTCTTCCTTGCTTTTCTCGCTTCAGACGCACGGTCGTGCGTTCCCCTACGCACGGCGTGCGTAAAACTTCCGAATTTGACAAAACTTTCTTCATGAAAGTTGTAGATAATTAAGTCCTCTATCCACCCCAATTTGCCGAATGTGATTTGAATCATCCAATCAAGAGATATGATCAAAACGGTGGAAGGTGTCTTTCTGAAATCGCAGCAGAGATCATCTGACTTCATCGTCTGTTTTCACCTTCTTCCTCTCAGATTCTCGCAAAGGTGTCTTCATATGATTTGTAGACCTTGAAGTTGGCTTTCCTATGCAACTTGAATCGTGTCCATTGGTTGTTCCTACAAAGAGATAAGCTTGAACGATTGACATAAGGTCATTCTGATCGTCGTTTTCAAGCTTCATTCATCTTCTTTTGATCCCGAAGCCAATCCTAGAGCTCTTTTTCCTTCAAATCTTCATCGTGAATCTTCCGGTGACCTCCAAAGATATCAAATCATTCTCAAATGCTTCTCAAAGCATCCCGATTGTTCCTCAAGTGCCGGTATCGGGCTCAAATTCCCTGATTTTGACTACAAACAACACAAAACTCGAACCAACGCCCGGTAAACATAACTTGAGCTAAAATTGAGACTTGCAACACCTTAAAGCTAGGGAAAACCATCAAAACCGATCCCAACACGCATCAAATACGTGTCAAAATACGGACTTATCAAATCCCCCCACACTTAAGCTTTTGCTTGTCCTCAAGCAAACTGAACAACGGGACTTACGATAATCACCACATGGAATTTAAAACAATTAGCATGCACACGTAGTTAAAAGGATATTCACAGAACAGAGAGTCTAAACCAAGAAAATTCTTCCCTAAACTACATCTTTGTACTCTAGCTAACATATTTGACAAAATTATTCACAACATCCTCAAAGTAGTGACAGCACACACAAAAAAACTAGCTACTGATCAGAAGGACTTGTGAAGGTGGCAGTGAATGGTTAACAGTAATAGTTCCTTTCTTTTGAGAGATTGGAATATTCTAACAAAGACTCAAAGTATTCAGGGACCTCAGGACTATTCTTAGGAATGAGGAACTCCGTAGGCCACAATTTAGGAACAATCATTTAAACCTATGCAAAGAGTAGACATGGTGTACAACTAAGCTAAACCGTCTCGGCACATTTGTGTGCTTTGACGTATACTTGAAGTACGCGGAGGACTAAATCTAAATTTTGAGATAGCCTCCAAATTCATTAATTATGTTTAGTTATCCTTGTCATGTTGGCACGAGAACGCCGTTTCTTTCGAAAGATACCCAAGTCTCATCTTACGCTTTTTGATCGGGGCTCCCATTCCCTTTTTCGCAAAGTAAGAGGTCTAGCTATATTAATTTTTCACATTTCAGATTCTCACTAGACATTACCCCATTCTAATCTCGGCCTCACCAAGGAAAAATAGCAATTAAGGTTCATTTATTTAAAAGTGAATCCATGCCTACAATGCAATCCTCGAAAGTATCATATTCCTAAAAAGTGACTGCTCTTACCCTATTTGGGGCTTAGGAACAGTGCCAAAATGGCTCCTACACAAATTCCCTAAACTTAGCAAATTCATCCCTTAATTCTCTAAACATTAAGACTAAGTCAGAAATATTCACGGGTAAGGAACACAGGCCATTTGGCTATGAAGCTCAATTAATTGGGTAACAAAGAACGGTCATGCTCAAAGTGGCTTCTCCTAAAGGAACTTATTCAGGTCAAATGGGAAAATTGTTCATTCATTTAATGAGTGACTAATGCCTTCATCCTTTCAAAAACCAAGTTAACATGCAAGCAATTTAAGCCTAAACACTTCAAGGACATTCTAAAAGCATTGTCAAACGCTAGCCAGTTCACAAAGACACAGTTTAAAGAAAAAAATTCAAAAATTTTGACATGAATTTCCTATGAATATACAACTAACACGTGCGCATGCTAACTCTAAAAATCACATGTAACAACTACTGCCCGAATGCCCAATTCACTCCCCCACACTTAAACTTTGGCATCGTCCTCGATGACCAAAAATGCACTATGCACAAGGGGGTAAAGAGGAAAGGGTCACGCATGCTCAACTTAACTCAAGTCAATATTTCAACAAGCGAGTAAAAGAGTCAAAGAAACTTCCCTAAGGCGTTGGTCGATGCAGAACTAAACTGAGTCAATGATCCTCGACACATCATCCCCAAAGCAAGACCCTGAGTAGCAAAAACAAAACACACAAGCACAAAAACAAACCCAAAAAACACCCCGGATTTTTTTTTGGTTTTTTTTTCCGGGTGTTTTTTTGAAAGCAAACAAACAAACAAAAAATGCAGAAATAAGCTTGGGTTGCCTCCCAAGAAGCGCTATTTTTAACGTCGTTTGCCCGACAATACCTCGTAAGCTCTTAAATAGCAAAGACTGCAGTGATGCACTTATAGTCAACGTCTCCAGTTTCCTCTCAACAAATGCCATTAGGTGTCGCGGATTTTTAAATTCTTCAGTCCACGTAGGCAGCATATGGTCTTCATAACCCTCATTAGTGCAGAAGTGAAGTATAAAACTCTCATCCTCTTCAGGTGGATAGGGAACATGAGTGAAAACTTTGATTACTCTATGCATCACCGGAAGCTCAAAACATGTCTCCAAACAAGGAGTAGGAGCAACACCGTAATCAAACTGCACCATAGAAAAGTCCTCTTCTTCCTCACAGATATCATGAACATTCACAACCTCTCCTCCGGACTCTGTATCACTCCCCATGAAGGAATCCCAACTCTCGTTAACAGCGTTCTCATTAGGGTCTTCAAAAACATCAGGAAATGTATCATCCGTCATATTCCCACCTTCGCTGTCCGACTCACTCACATGATCATCCCTATTGGTTTCCTCAGGTTGGGCTTCTGTGTCTCTAGGATGAGATCTCTCGGACTCCTCAGATAAAGCCTTTATAATCTGCCCCAATTGATTCTCCATGTTCTGCATCCTTGAGTCCGCTCTATGTTGAATTAGCACTAATTGTTTGAGTGATTCTTCCAAGCTAGAAAGTCTCTTTAAATCTGCCATCCAGATCCTCTTGTTGATTATTAGGCTCATTACTCGGGAAGTATGTAGGAGTGGCTGAAACATTTGTGTTCGTAAATTGTGGGGAGGAAGAAGTGGGGTATGCAGTTCCCCGGAAAGGATTGTCATATAGAGGTTTGATGGGGCAGAGACATAAATGGTGATCTCCTCCACAGAAGGAACAAATGCTATCCTTAAAACATTCAGATATTTCCTCAGGCGTTTTATTTAGAAGCATAAATTCAAGAATGGAGCCTCGTCTTACGCTTACCCAAGGTTAATGTGATGAAGGATAGTAAGAATCAGAATGAAAGGGTTGTGTGGTTAGAGTGTACGGATAAGAACGCTGAATATTTTGTGGCGTAGGAGAGTAATTTTGATGAGGTGTGTAATATTGAGGAGGAGGAGTGTAAGGAGGGTATGGCGTATATGGTGAAAATTCCATGGAGGTTTGGGGAAAAGGACTTCCTCCATGAATTTGGCTGAATGGGTTCATCTCATGCCTCTTTGAAAAAAACCTGAAAGGTTAGCACAGAAAATCCTACAAAGAACAAAAAGAAAACTAACTAAAAAAAATCTCGCTGAAATTAATTAACCCTTAAAACCGACACCGTCCCCGGCAACGGCGCCAAAAACTGATGTGAGTTTTCTCGCACTTAAAATGGTTGTAGAAAAGTGGTTGAAAGTACGAGTATCGTCTCCACAGGGACGGACAAAAGGGAATTAAAGATTAACTAAATTCAGCGATTGAAAAGAAATAAATAAAATAAATACGATTGTGCGAGATTGATTGGTGAATAAAATTAAACTAAACTAATGCGAAAAAGTGAATAAAATAAATGCTTGGTTTCTTTCTAATTAACGACGAAGGGAACAGGAATTGATTCCGGGGTTAACCAGATTTCTGGCAGATCAGGCCTAATTACATGAATTTAATTTAATTGAGCCTAGCTAATCATTACTAAGTTCTTACCGCTCTCACGGCGTAGAGTACAATAATTTAGGGGTCCAGGCTGATCTCTCATGCGACAAGATCCTAAATTATTACCAAAACGAGCGAGCTTACGGCCCCTTAACGATTAAGTGTGTGTGAATGTGTCCTAGAACAAATTAGATCTCTCTTAATTCATTCTACATGCAATTGTAATTCTAGCTGCAGTCTAGGTTACAAGAGATATCAATTAAATTATTCAAACACAAATTAAACGGCATTCATGCAATTAAACCGACAAGAATCTAGCCATACATCATGATTAACCCCTTCATCAACCCCAAATCCCTAATTAAACTACTCACAATTCATAATTGAAGAATCAACAGAATTGAGATGAATAGAATAAATTGTCATTAATTAAAAATATGAACTTACAAATAATCCCAGAGTCTTGGAAGAAAATAGCGTAAAAACGGGGTTAAATTCGTCTCTAGGCCTCTCCGTAATGTTCGTAACCCTCAAAAAGGGTTAGGGAGGCCTTATTTATAGAAAAAGGGGAAAAAATATGAATTCTGGCCGATTTGGGATTCAATTTCGCGTAACCCGGAGCTACGCACGGCGTGTGTCCCCCCTACGCACGGCCGTGCGTAGCTGGCAGTGTCTTCCTTGCTTTTCTCGCTTCAGACGCATGGTCGTGCGTTCCCCTACGCACGGCGTGCGTAAAACTTCCGAATTTGACAAAACTTTCTTCATGAAAGTTGTAGATAATGAAGTCCTCTATCCACCCCAATTTGCCGAATGTGATTTGAATCATCCAATCAAGAGATATGATCAAAACGGTGGAAGGTGTCTTTCTGAAATCGCAGCAGAGATCATCTGACTTCATCGTCTGTTTTCACCTTCTTCCTCTCAGATTCTCGCAAAGGTGTCTTCATATGATTTGTAGCCCTTGAAGTTGGCTTTCCTATGCAACTTGAATCGTGTCCATTGGTTGTTCCTACAAAGAGATAAGCTTGAACGATTGACATAAGGTCATTCTGATCGTCGTTTTCAAGCTTCATTCATCTTCTTTTGATCCCGAAGCCAATCCTAGAGCTCTTTTTCCTTCAAATCTTCATCGTGAATCTTACGGTGACCTCCAAAGATATCAAATCATTCTCAAATGCTTCTCAAATCATCCCGATTGTTCCTCAAGTGCCGGTATCGGGCTCAAATTCCCTGATTTTGACTACAAACAACACAAAACTCGAACCAACGCCCGGTAAACATAACTTGAGCTAAAATTGAGACTTGCAACACCTTAAAGCTAGGGAAAACCATCAAAACCGATCCCAACACGCATCAAATACGTGTCAAAATACGGACTTATCACCAGGGGAGGAAGTTTTCGACCCATCATCTCCAATGCCTCTGCCAATTGTAGTGCCGGATGGCTACGATTTCTTCCAACTTGGCGTTGGTGCAAATGAGGATGAAGAAAAAACATGTGCAATTTGTTTTGGCAAGTACGAACCGCAGTGCCTCATGATTCGCCTCCAATGTATGGATGAACTTTTGCCCGATCGTAAGAAGCATATCCACAAGGAGGCGGAGGCCGCAGCAGCAATATTGCTGCCATGTTACCACATATTTCATGCAAAATGCATTGTCGGGTGGTTTAAGGTCCGAGGTCATCATAGCAAACATCCCACAACCGGTTATATTACTTGCCCTCTATGCAGGTTTGGTATTCCCTCCCGCATTTATGTGCTTTCTCTTTTACACAACTTTCCTCTTAAACTGATGAGAGTTGAGCATTTAAGAATGGATGTTAAGTGAACCAGTCTGGGCCACCAAGCCCATTATGTTTGTATGTATTCCAAGCCTTCCCCTGAGCAACATACCAAAGAAGAGAGAACTTGTGCCATTTTTAGTGTGCTGACGGATGAGTTTGAATTTTCAATTTTGTTACTAGTCATTTTTCAGATTTTCCCATCCTTTCTACGTGTAATTTATTCATACGTTAGTTGTTTTGATGGCAGCTGACAGATTTTCCCATGTACTTGTTATTTCCGTTAACAATACCACTTGAGCCAACTAACAAATAGTGTGGTGAGCATAGTGTATCCAATTTTTGTTGTGAAATTGGATTAAAAAGAATGTTTTTGCCCGGCTTAATTTCTCTGCAAAGCCATTTTATAGACAAAGTAAAATAAACCTAGTTGCTGCAAATTGCTTACTCTAACTTCCTCTCGCATTGTGGTAAACTTATGAATACATTCAAATGTCGAAATGGACAATCCCTGCACCATTTGGGCACCATCAATGACTGGAAGAGTGAAATTTGGCTCTTTGTCCTTGGCATTAAAGCTGCTGGCAAGCATGGCTTTCAAAGCCCAAAATGCATTAACATCTTGTTTTAATTTTGTTAGAAGTGCAGTTGAGTGTAAGATCACTATGACACTATATATAGCTTGGGTTGTGCTCAGTACTCTTTTAGGAGCATACTAATAATGAATAAAACTTCAAGTTCTGATTTTGGAACCATACATCTACAAACTAAAAGCCATGTACTTTGGAACCATACATCTACAAACTAAAAGCCATGTACTATCGTAATATATTTATATATGCAAAATTGAATGTACTCTGGACAAGTTTTAGTTTCCCTGAAAGTGTACGATGCAGTGGTGTTATAATGATTTCCCACCGCAATGGCGCGGTAAGAATCCTCTTTCTCTGCTTTGTTTTCCCTTCATTGTGATGCTTTTGAATTTCTTTTGGTGTCCTTGTGCACAGTTAATTACTCTCTGCTTGGGAAGATATTAGCTGAAAATGCAACTGGTATGATTTAGTCTCAATGAGCCAAAATGAATGATACTACGTATGATTTAATGTGGTCCAAATTACAATCATTCCTGCCTAACCTCAAATTCCAAGCTTCTCCCATGCTTTGATTTCTAGTTTCTACCATTGGATTGAATTTATTTCATTGAACTTTACGAGTCAAGTGTTACTACTCCAGTCTTAATCTTCCAACTTTCTAAGTGTATTCAGCAATAGTTTTTCAAACTATTTACTCTTAATGTTGGTTTGGGAAGAAATAATGAAGTGTATGGAGACATGATCTAATGCTGTTTTTGTCTTGCTTTTATCTGTTTCCCTTTTGTTGTTCCTCAATTTCAGGAATGAACCTCATACCATCTTTTGCCTTAATCTTTTCCCTTTTATAGCTAAAAGCCTCAGATATGATATGGGAGTAATAAAAAGTAAAAACTATATAGAAAATAAATATGACAGGTTTGGTAAATGGAAATAAACAAAAGATACTGTAAAAGTTTGAATCAAGACTCACCAAAAAACCTCAGGAATGCTGGTAGGAGAATGTAAAATTTATTGTCTAAAAATAATCTAAGGTTAAATATAGACATGAAAAGAAACACGATGTGTGTGAAGGGCCACTCAATGACAAAACATTCAAATTCTTTTTAACTTTCAATAGAAAATACAAAAAACATCAGTCAAAATGTTAGTAACGCGGACAAACATGCCAAAATGATAGCTCCATGCAGCATTTTTCAAAACAATTTGTTAAATGAATTATCCGAATTCGAAAAACACAGTAAAAAATATATAAGAAACTGATAGTATGAATGCAATAAAAGTTGAAACAAGTTCCTAAAAACATTACTGCCAGCCGTAGGTGGAGCAAGAAAGTAACTCTATTTTTTTTTAAAGCATTTCGAATTAACATTTCCATCATTTGCAATGGAGCCAAAGATTCATTATTTTTTGGCTTGAGAATATGATGGAATAAAGTAAAATGGCTCACCAAACTGTCTGTTCTTCTTTGTTATGAAGCAGCAGTCAGCATGCAATTTTGGACGCGATTTTCATTATGGGTCATCCAGAAACAATCTCTCTGTGCTTTAGTACAGGGGTAAGATTGCGTACATCCGACCTCCCCTTACCCCATCATAGGTGGGAGCCTTTGCGGTACTGGGGTAAATGATGATTGATTGATTTCGAATTAACTCTTTCTAGCGTCACAGAATAAATCACTAATCATTCTAGAACAATTGAAAGTTAGGATACACACATCAGAAGTAACCTCATAAGCATAAAGTTGGTAAGAACAATTGAAATAACATAAAGAACAACAATAATCATAATAAGAAGTTCTTAATCACATGAATTTGTTTATGTTTTTATTATTATTAAACAAATGTTAACCATGGTTTGGTGTATAACAAACATTTCGGGTGTTATCCATGGAAACTACATGTCACCGCAAAGCAAGAGATAAGATAACTTCGATAAAATGTGTTTAGATTTTTTATTTAACAAACTTGTTGTATAGTACTAAAATTTAACGGGCCGATTTGGATTGAGTATTGAGAAGTGTTAGTAATGGGAGTGTTAGTAAGTATTGATACTAACACTTGTTTTGGAGAAAAATTAAGAGGTGTTAAGAAGTGTTAGTAACGGTTAGGAAGTGTTAATAATAAACCCAAAATAGGACTAAAAAAGTTTGAAAATTACAAAATAGGACTAATTACTGTCATATTTAGGCAGTACCAGACTTCAAATATGACAGTATTTTTTAAACTTGACAATAAATAGTCCTATTTTGGGAATAAAAACATGACAGTTCTATTTTGGAATTTCGAAACTTTTTTAGTCCTATTTCGGGAACTTTCCCTAATAATAACCTTCCCAACACCTCAATTGTCCATTTTTTTAACACCCCGATTTGGAGTGTTTTGAGGTGTTGGACAATTATTACATTCTCATTTACCCTAAAAATATATAATGCTTTGACATCTCACTTCGAATATCTTTGTCGAGGGTCTGATGGTCTTCCTTTTTCGTCTCTTCTTTGTTCTGCTCCAAGGTAAAATTATTAACACTTACATTACTAACACTTCATTCATTTGACTCTCCCAAACAAAGTAAAATTATGTCTAACACTTACACTTCTCTTCCCTTCCGGGCCCTTACTAACACTTCCATTACTAACACCTCCAAACACTCCATCCAAACAGTCCGTAAGAGTTTTGTCAAAAAAAAAAAAACAATGAAGTGTAAGTAACCTGACTATGAAATAAGAGTTAGTAAATTGACTCGTATTACCTCATTCAGCAAAGTATATAAACTATAGACGATTAAATCAGTATATTAAAGAGAATTTACCCCCAAATAGGACTAAAAAGGTTTGAAAATTCCAAAATAGGAATGCCATGTTTTTATTCCCAAAATAGGACTAATTACTGCCATGTTTTGGCAATACCAGACTTCAAACATGACAGTATTTTCCAAACTTGACATTAATTACTCCTATTTTGGGAATAAAAAACATGACAGTCCTATTTTGGAATTTTCAAACTGTTTTAGTCCTATTTTGGGAACTTTCCCTATATTAAACTATAAATAACCTAATAATTAAGACATAGTTCAGTGACTCTTACCTCGTTCCATAAATTATACTCCGTGTTAACTATGAACTCTAAAATACGGAGTAAGTATATTCAATATTAATAAAAAAAGAAGCTAGTAAACTGTTCTTACATCAAACCTTTCACGTAAAAAGAAAGGTATACCATAATTTTTCCCGAAAGTTCCTACCTAACAATAACCAAATATTTTGAATTTAAGATAGTACACACTGTACAATTCCATACTTTCCCTAAACAGTCTGTACCAGGGGAGGATCTATGTTAGGGCTATGGTGGGCTGAAGCCCAGGGCAAAGCAAAAAAAAAAATTATTTTTTAAGGTATTATTTTGACATAATTCCATCTAGCCCACCCCGGATTTTTGTATAACCCAGTCCAACTTTTCAGCCTAGTCTATAAAACAAAATCTTACCATCTAAAAATCTAATATAAATGTTAAACACATCACCTCCCACTTAATAAGTGGCACTTAATAAATATGTATAATGGCCATAAAGCCCACAAAGCATCAATGTAATAAATACAATAAAATATGATTCAATTAAGAACTTGATTAGCATGTTCACATGAACTTGTAAAGTGTTTGAGTATCTTCAACAACATTAATTGTCCAAAAGTGAGTTCTTGGGCAAAAGTTTGTAGTGTATATAGACATTCTTCATGTTTTAAATTTGTGTTCAATTTACTTTAGTTTGATGCACAAAGTTATGGCATTAACGACTATTCTCTCTCAAAGTCTTCAAAAAAAATTATTGAATATCTCGGTAGCCATGAGACATCTTTCTACTACACAACTCATTCTTAAGGAATTGACAGAAAATAGATGGGAATGTTTTCTTGAAGAAGTAAATGAGTTTTTCTCAAAAAATAAATCCATGCACCAGACTTGAATTCTAGTTTCTAAATATATGGTTGGTCATTGCTGAAAAGAAACTACAATTGAGAATCATTATGACTTTGATGTTTTCAATGAGGTAATATACTTTTATCCATGGAGTTAACGACCCAGTTTAATGATAAATCAGTGGAACTCCTTTCTTTGAGTGTTTCATTTGATCCAAAAAAATCATATGAGTCGTTCAATGCCGATGCTATTTGTACTCTTTGTAAGGAAGTTTTATCCCGAAGATTTTAGTAGTCAGGACATTCGTGCTTTGAAATTCGAGCTGCAACACTATGTTCATGATGTGATTCATGATACCAAGTTTCAAGTATCTACACTTGTTGAATTATGTGAGGAGTTAACTAAAAGCAAAAGGCCTGATTCATATGTTAAGATGACTAGATTGATTCACTTCGTATTGGTCTTATTGTTTCTACTGCAACAGTAGATAGAATGATCATTTTCTGTCGTGAAACTTCTAAAGGCAACACTCTGCAACAAATAGATGATGGTTTTCTTGCTGATTGCATGACACTTTACATTGAAAAATATATTACTCTCAGTATAGATGTAGACTCTAGTGTTGATGAGTTTTTTTTGTTTCAAAGCCTTGTCTAGAACAAATTTAGGGGGTAACTTTTATATTTGATTTTTCGCTTATTTTGAAAAAAAAAATCAATGTATTATCAATTAAATTTTTCAGCCCAGCCCAACATTAAATTCTGGATCCGCCCCTGGTCTGTACACACAGATGAACTAAGCAAATCCCAACCCAAGTAGTGAACGAAGGAACCAATTGCGAATCAGATGACCGATCTATGTTTTTTGCCGACCAGTCTACATTTGGAAAAGTAAAACCTATGTGGCTGCTAACGTGGTAAAAGATAGCCATGATTGGCTAAAACAGGGCACCCACATAATAATAGGGATTAAAAGGTTGTTAACAGGTCATAAGAACTCATTTGCTTCCTTTGTTAATTTTTAAAATAATTAAAAAGAAAGTAAGTACTTTCTCCGTTCTTAAATAATCGCAACACTTTTCTTTTTCGACAGTTCCAAAATAATTGCAACATTACTAAATTTAGTAACAATAGCTAACAAAAATAACTATTATACTTCCCCTGTTCTTAAATAATCACAACACTTTCCTTTTTCCAATTTTGGGGAACTCATTAAGACAACTCCATTCCTTCTACAGTTAGCCTAATTTCTCAAATTAAGGCATACACACAAAATTGGGCTTGGTCTTTTCCCAAACCAAAGAACAATTCAGTGAGCAGCATCTTGAAGGAAGAACAGATAGTCACGCAAAATTTTAAAGCAAGAGGTATTTCAATACAGATTATCAGGTGGAGAAAACCGAATAATAATCTAAAAACGAACGTTGATGCGAGCTACTCATCTGATGGTGCATCAGGAGGAGCAATAATTCGAAACTCTACTGGGGAGATGCTTTGGGCAATTAGCTTTCCGCTTAGGCGCTTACAGCATCATCTCCGGTAGAAGCCGAGTTCATGGCGCTGGTAGAAGCAATTCGCAGTGCAGTGGAAGATGGATTTCAAATGAGCTTTAGAATTTCAGTTTTTTTGTTAACGCTGCTTAATAGCATAGTTTGGCACTTTTGCTAGTGATATTATGAAGATATGGGATGGTTTTGTGTGTAAACTCAACTGCCTCATTTTGGTAAGAACTTTCTTGGCTAAAGGGTCAAATAGGTACATGAACTAACTTAAAGTGTTCAATTAGCCCCTTATATAGGAGGTTCTGCCTGGCCGCCGCCAATTGGGGCGGTTACCGGTTGAATTTTTTGATGAATTTTTTTGAGAATCTTCTTCATTAAGTCTAGTTTATCCATATCAAATTTCAGCTAAAAATTAAATCAGGAAGGCAATCAAATGATTTTCCGAAATGTACTGAGTTGTTTAACTGCGCAATTATCTTCTAAAAATCATTTGACTGCCTTCCCGGTTGAATTTTTAGCTCAAATTTGATATGAGTAAACTAGACTTAATAAAGAAGATGCTAAAAAAATTTCATCAAAAAATGCCACCGGGAACCGCCCCAATTGGCGACGGCCGGGCAGAACCTCCTATATAAGGGGCTAATTGAACACTTTAAGTTAGTTCATGTACCTATTTGACCGGAATTACTTTTCCACTCAAAGATGAAAAACATGAAAGCACCGGAATTGTTTATTGTTAGTTTGACTTTACAAGTTGTACTTTAAGATTGAAATGTTTTTTTAATTGTATTTCCAAATATGATCATCTAAAACTTATGAAAGAAAAATGACTTACTCTATTGCGCTAAAATTATTTCATCAATTCAGTATCTACCACATAAAACAACTTTTTTACTCCGTATTAATCACACTACCTCCTCATTTTGGAATGCTAGTGGGATGAAAGTAGTAATAATAGTTAATGGTGTACTTTAATAGAAGTATACGAGTAATTTACCAATAAAATCAAATATTACTAAAAGAAAATGAGAAATTGAAACTTGGTTGTCAGATATCTGGAAAAGAAAGTCAGAATTTGATTGGGAAAAGAAATGAGTCAATTCCCTAAATAGGACTAAAAAGTGGCAAAATTGCACAAATAGGACTACATTTTTTAAATTCCCTTAATAGGACTATTTATGTGTGTTTTGACAAATATACCCTTGTAGCTTGTGAAATGTTTTAATTAATAATAAAATCATAAAAAAAATCGAAAAAATACTAAAAATCGCAAAAATAATAATAGAAAATTAATAAAATTATTTTTTAAAAAAATTAAAAAAAAATATTTTTTAAAAAAATTAAAAAAAATCATAAAAGTTAAAAAAACATTACCACCCTTGCCACCCCCAGCACCACCAGCTCCCATCACCGGAGAAAAATATGCCAACATTTCAAATAATGTCATAATGATGGCATATTCAATGAAAATGTTGGCATATTGAAGAGTAATTATACCATCTTTTTGGCATTTTTAGAAAAAGATGGCATTTTTTTTATCAAAAGTGGAGAAATTTCACCAATCGGAGGTGGTGGTGCTAGGAGGCGGTGGGAAAGGTTTCCATAATTTTTTTTCATTTTTTATGGGTTTTTACTATTTTTATTATTTTCTTAAAAACATTAAAAAATAAAAATTAAACATTTTATTTTATAAATATTTTATAAATTTTTAATTTTATTTTTTACGTTTTTTAAATCTTTTTTACGTTTTTTATGATTTTATTATGAATTAAAGTATTTCATTATGAATTAATACTCTTAGGGGTATTTAGGGTGGAAAATCAATGTTTAGTCCTATTTAGGGAATTTAAAAAGTAGTAGTCCTATTTGTGCTTTTTAAGAACTCATTAGTCCTATTGAGGACAATTTCTGAAAAGGAATGTACTCCCTCTGTAACTTAAAGATCTTCCCACTTTCCTTTTTAGTCTGTAACAAAAACATTTCTAAATCCTCCCATTATACCCTCAATAATTCAGAAAATAATACACTATTACAACAACTTTTTTTTGGATTTATCCTACATTCCATCACATTATTCCACTATCTTCCCATCATACCTTCAATAATTCATATCCTCTTACACTATTCTTAATCTACCTATTTTTTAAATGGGAAGATCTTTAAGTTATGGAGGTAATAAAATACTCCGTACTCCGTATCACATTCTGATTGTAAGCATATACTCCCTCCGTCCCTATTAACTTTGCCAAGTTTGACCGGCACGGGAATTAATAAAGTAAAAATTGTGTGGTTGAGGTTTGTGCAGAGGAGAGAGAATTAACTGAAACCACAAATTCTTTACTTAAATGGGAAAGTGGCAAAGTTATTGGGACATCCAAAAAAGGAAAGTTGGCAAAGTTATAAGAGACGGAGGGAGTAACAAGAAGTCAGGATGCGATTGTTCTTTTGGAAAGCCTTGACCTCAGCTATTATGGTGTTGGAATTCGGAAGTAAATACTCCGTAAATAATAGCGTAATAGAATGGGTGAGGGGTTGATTCACCTAAATAAATTGTCACACGCTTTGTTGTGCCTCAAAAGTCAAAGAATATTTGGTGAATGGCCATTCACAAAGTTAAAGTTAAAAATATCCAACTCTTGATCCAAGATTGGATCCTCATATTACTTGTCGGTAGGAGTGGGTACGGTTGGTTAACCGTATTTCGGTTAACCAACTTATGGTTAAAAAAAATTTATTTCGTTCTGTTTCAAGCATTTCATATCTCATTAAAAAGCTCTTATCAATTTTCAAAACTCATATTTAGAATTCGTTTGCAAACTAATAAAGAATAAGTACACCTTTTAGTGAAAACCAACACTACAAAATCAATAGCAGGATACCACTTCGTTCTTGAGGGCTCTCCAGAAGCGATCAGACAGTTTTCTGGGAGGATGTAAGATGAGTTTAATCGCACTCCGATGGAACAAGAGTGAGATTCAATAATCTCAAATCATGATTTGAAGTTGAATCCGAGACCTCTATCTTGTGGCCCCAGAACAATGCCTACGGTAACTAGTCAGTTTTTATTAGTCCATGTTGCATGGTAAATGTGGTGGAAATTTCCATAGAAGATTTATTTTCTTGCCATTGATGCCGCGTTGCCCGCGTATTAGCGAATTTTGCAACCTTCTTTTGGAAATCTCGATGTTCCAATTTATCATCAGAACATGCCTTGTGCAAGTCTATATAGATAGACATCCACCGTGGAATATTCAAATAAAAATACTTATGAATTACGATTTAACTTATCTATTAAGAGTTAAATATTACGTAGTACGGTACTCAGAAGAAACTTCACAGAGGAGTTGAATACAGATTGAAATTAAATTGAAATGACCCAAATACGAGTGTACGTTATAAATATGATATGGAGTAAGCTAGTGTATGACGAACAAGCTAAGTACGTACAATTTACCTTCGTTCTGAAACTTTACTAATATTTTCTTAGAACCTAAAAGTTTAAAATTATTTGCAACAATCAACAATTAACTTCTAGATGCTGGCTACACCGCAAGGCGTTGCCGGTGGAGTTTAACGATTGCCGCATGATTCTAATTTCTAATGATCATATATAACGAGTTCAATTCCATCAAATAAATTTTGAAGGTTTTATCAAATTTGGGGGAGGGCAAAACCTAACACGACCCCTTGTTATGTCCTTGCAATGTGTCGTATTTGACCCCTAAGGGTATGTTTTGGAGATAAAGGGAAGGATGAAGAGAGTTCGTTTGTGACCTTTTCTGTTTGAGCGTTTAAAGAATTAGAAGGAATAATTTTGGAGGCTTCTTGTGATAGTTCAAAACCATTCAAATGAACCATTTTTAAGCTCCCTTAATTCGGAGTCCCTATACATCCGGCCCAATTATTAAATTTGATTGGTGAGCTTACATTTTGTTCCAGCGAATCGCGACCATAGAGAACTGAATTCCTTCACTAAAAAAATTAAAATCCCCAGCGGGATTGGATCCCCAAACCCGAAGTAGGGTATGCGGCCTTCCAACCATCTCACTAACTTGTCTTGTTGAGATAATTTTCTTTTATCTTACTTATCCTATATAGTTTCATACTGCCTATTATTAATAGTAATTATAATATTAACTATTCTTTTGTTTTTGCTCATTATTACTATATTAAAAGACTAATTCATATTTTTGAAGTATTTATTTGATCTATGAATCATACTATTACTTTATATAAATATATTTATACTTTTTTTATATAGTGTTAGGTTCCTAATAAGCCTGATGCTCATCAAAAGTGTTTTAATGCTCATAATAGGTCTGATGAACATTAAAAGTTCATTAATGCTCATTTAACAGAAACTGTGATTTTCATCTCAATAGAAACTGTGATTTTTTTCATCTCATTAATATGACATTGTAAAAATGAGCATAACATGAGTACCAAATGAACATACATAACTTACAAAGTGCACATTGATATGAAAATCGTAAGGTTTGTTAGTTGAATATCATGACATTTTAATTGAGCATCCA